TTCCAGACAAACCGTAGAGGAATATATCCTAGCCAATATTTTAAGAAGTACGATATTTTATTAAAATATATCGCGCGTTAGATAACTTGCATTGAATAAATTTTACAAACTGAATTCCGGTTATTTAAGTACACGATAGCAGTGTTCTTTGTCATACGTACTAAGTAACGTCAAATCATGAAGTATAATTACAATTTACTTGCAGAAATAGAGTGACTTTAAGTGCAACCGTAAAAGTGCTGTGAATTTAAGTAAACGATTATCTCTTGAATCAAATGGATGAGAAACCTCCAATGGAAATTGAGTTAGGCAAAATAATCAACTTATATTTTGCCAAATTTGTTTCATTTCTAAAAAAGAAGGACCTATGTCTAATTGTCCTGGAAATGGAGAGCTTTATTAAAAAAAAGGGGGAACCATCATTTTTTTGTCGGATTCATTTTAAAATTATGTTAAACTGATAATGATTGCTATTTTAATTTCATATAATCATTCAACATTTCATAAAATCATAAACAAGTTTAGGGACATTTTAAAGTATTTATTACCTCTGCGATGCCATTAATACACAACTCGTAATTATCAAGCCATGGATATCTAAAATCTGAAGAGGTGGACATTATTTTCTGTTATTGATCCTTCTGTGTTTGAAGTTCCCCATTACTAGTCTATGTGACTTCAAATTAATGCCTTCAAGAAGTAATGTAATTAGTAACACTCCTGCCTAGTTCCTTTTGTTTTATAGTTTTACATTCAGCCATAAATCTTTAATTCAAAAACATAAATTGCTCTCAAATTGCTTTATACCGATATTAATTTGAAATTAAAATAATTTTATACTTTATTACAAGTGCTATAAAAATAGGCTATAAATAATTTCTCCATAAATAGAATATAAATGTTCAACATCTACTTGCCTCACAAGCTCAAGAATTTTTTCACCGCAAATATGCATAGTTCGTGCGCATTAAGAGTATGCGTGGAATTCACTATGACGCATTTACTAAAACAATACAATTTTGAACCTGTTGAAACTTCTCATCGTTTGACTAACATATTATTCAGTTCATCACCAACTTTCGTAAATATCAAACGCATTTTATTACCCATAGAAGATGAATATAGATAATCAGTACAAACGTGCTATGCTATATTTTTTATTTCCGTGTGGTGAATCTGCCAGGTTTGCAGCGATAAAAATTAATAGTGTACATGGTGAACACGCTATTAGTGTAAGGACTGCCCTGAAATGGTTTAAAAAATTTAAAGTTGGAAAAAGCAGCATTGATGATGAACTACGTTCAGTACGTTTTTAACTGTTAGAACCAAATCAAGCGATTAATTCAGAAGTTTATAGTGAACAACTTTGCCGTTTAAACTCAGAATTGATCAAAAAACGCTCACGATTGATGAATATCAAGAAAGTGTGGTTTCATCATGATAACGTTACATCGCATACGGCTCGAACAACGCTGCAAAAAAGTAGTGAATTTAATTGGGAGCTTTTGCCACATCCTGCTTACTCCCCAGATATTACAACAAGCGATTTTCACTTACTTCGTGGCTTACAATATTTTTACTGGGAAAAAAATTAAATTCTAAACAGGATGTACACAATGAACTTTCAAGGTTTTTTGCATCAAAACCAGAGTCTTTCTACAGTAATGGAATAAAAAAAGCTGCCTGTAAGATGGCGAGACATTGTAGATAATGGAGGAAAATATATAATTGATTAAAATGTTAAATTGTGTTTTTTATGTTATTTAAAAATTTACCAAAAATGCGCACGAATTTATGGGCTGACCCAATAGTATATATTCTATAAAAATACACTGACAGTGTTCCATGAGAATTTTTTTTTTTCAAGTAATGATTTTTCGACGATTTTCATCAACAGCCCGTGGAACGTTTTCAATTTTTTTTTTTTTTTTTTTTCCCCCCTTTTCTGCGTATCGAAAATGGCCAAGTCAGGCTAGATTTTCAGCTAATATGCCTCCATTCTCTAAGTAGGAAACCACTTGTAGACCCATTCTTTGCGCAAAATAACACACATTAAGGTTTCTGAGGCCCTAATAGTAGTTTCAGCTGTATTTTTACTTCCTTGTACGAAGCAAAAAGGAAGTATCGTAATCGCGAAAAGTTTCAGGCATCATATTTCAACGCAAATATACATTTTTACAGTGATCGAATACAATTTAACGATGGTTTTGCGTGACATCCGTACGTAATGAACAGAATAAAGGACTCTTTTCCCCCACAAAAAAGTTATAAAACTAATTCAAAATGACATCTGAAGAGAATTTTTCGTGACATCTGTGCGTACGTACGTATCTCGCATAACTCAAAAACGAGTAGCCTCAGAACGTTGAAATTTTGTATATAGGACTGTTATAACATGTAGATTTGCACCTCGCATTTTGGTTGCAATCGGCCGCATCAAAAGCAAAGCATATAAATATATGTATGTGATATATATATAAATATATATCCACTTTGTTAGGCGGCTCGGTGATCTCAGTTTCTTTATTCTTATATGTTTGTAAATTGTGCATTTTTCGCTTTAAAAATAATTGAATTATGTTGTTCTTATCTTCCGGTTAAGGTTTTTATGCCTTTAGTAAATCTGTATGCAATATTTATAGAATTATCAGCAATTTAAAAGTTGTGCGAGTGCATCTAAGCCTAATTATTTTTGCCATGGCGGTCATGTTTTTTACATTTCAAACTTGGCAAAATAGTGATTATTGCCAATCCAGAGAAACTAAGCTTCGCAACAACAACGATAACGCCTTCTTTTATTATTGCGAAGTACATCATGTTTAATCCGTTCTGGAATTTATTCGAGTTAATAAGTGTTTAAGATTTGCTTCGTAATTTTAATATAGATATTTTGAATTTTTAATATATTTGAGCCTTGTAGAGGACTGAATTAATTGAATGAGAAATACTGAATCGTCTGTGAAAAATTGTTTCTTTCTCTCACTCTCTCTCTCTCTTTTTTTTTTTTTTTTTTTTTTTGGTTTGTTCAATTTCTTTTATACATCGTTTTAGATTTATTATAATATTTGTTGAATAGGAGTTGTGACAACGATTAGATAATTCTTCAGATGAGTGCATTTATTCTATTGTGGTTTATGCGCTATCGACGAAGTAGATTTAATTCAATCCAATACGTTTAAATGAAATGCAAGAAAAAAATGCTTATAATTTAATATTTCGCACAAGGATGTCATGTGGTGTACACATCAGATTTTTTTATCTTACAAGAATCAACATTTATGCGCAAATGTCTTCCATGCATTCAGAGCATTACAAGAATTTCTGCATGTTATGAGTGTGATACACACAAAGAAGTACCAAGGATGAACTACACACCACGAAATGACTGTAGCCTTTGTATTTTCGACTTACCTAACACTAAGCAGGTTTCATTTTTCAGTTTATTAAAATATATTCCACAATACTAACATTAGTGTTACTGTTATCAATAGACGAATAACTAAAATAAATTAAAGGAAATATAAAAATTACTAAAATATATGAATACTTAAAAATTATTGTTTCTGTTTAAGTTGTTTTTCGTGATTTACAAAACTTATCAATACTCATATAATGAAAAGTATCTAAAAAGAAACGATAATTTAAATTCGAATAAAAAACTGACATGACCAGTGGGTTGTAATACAAACAACGTCAATTTCATATTATATTTGAGAAATATAAAAGTAAATAAGTTTCTCGAAAAGAAGAGACATTTAACAATCAAAAATACATTTTTAAAGTTTCTTTAGTGATGAATTGATTGTGCCTGGTTATAACAATCTACTAAAACAGAAAATTCTTTAAAATTCATTTTAAATATCGAAATCTGAAATTATGGGAAAATGAAACTTCAGTAACGAACAAACACTGTTGTTGAATTTTTAAATTAAGAATAATATATATAATATATACTTGTATTTTTGAATTTAAAAATATTTCTATTTTTAAATTAAGATATAAATTTAAAGATAAGGAAAATAATGGAAAGAAACCATACTGAATATTTTAAATGTTTAATAGCATTTATCATTTAACAATACTAATACTAGTACTGAGATCATGCACAGAAAGCGGTTAGTGAAAAGTGGCTACAATAGATATCGAATTCGCTAGTAGATGGTGCTGCCATCTACTGGTGAATTCGCTATACTTTTCAAAGTATATAATTATTCATCAAAGGGCAATTAAAAGCTGTAGTTTAAAACACTTTTAATTGTAACATACAATGCAAACACGACGAGAAGGATTTTGCATTTCCAAAATTTATTTCTGTAACTCTCCGTTTTAGCCGAGCGAAATGGAACATCGAAGAAACAGTTAAAACTGCAGCAACAAATAATTTTTTAATCAATATATAGCTCTTATTATTCAGTATATCGAACAATTATTTCACTCGCATTGGTTTATCCATCGTTTCATCACAGAAGCCAATGCAATGCTAACCAATTTGTTATTCGTATTTATTTAATGTATTCCAAGGTATAAAATAATGTATGTGCGCGTGTGTGCGAGAGAGACAGAAAAAAAGGGAGGGAGGGGGAAAAATTGAGAAAAGATACCGTATTTACGCCAATCTAATGCGCATCGTTTTTGGCCAAATGAAGTATTCAAAATTGGGGTGCGCATTAGATTCGAGTGCAAAGTTCGCCGATGACGTCGACCAAATTTAAATTGTAACAATGGATTACTGTATTTCTCGACTACATTTACCGTTACATTTATCGTTGACACATTATTGCATAGAGGATACAAACTGCAGAGTACGTAGTCACGAAATGGAGGGCAAACAGAGAAGAATGTCATATGACGCTACTTTCAAACGTAAAGTAATTCTTTATGCTGAAAAAAATGGCAATAGAAAGGCAGGGAGAGAGTTCAACGTAGCTGAGAGCAATGTTCGCTTGTGGCGGCAACAGAAATTGGCACTGTTTGCAACTAAAGATTCAATAAATTCCTCATACTATTGATGCGCATTACATTCGCCGACAAACAATTTTTTTATTACTTAAAGTTTTAAAATGGGGATGCGCATTAGATTCGCATAAATACTACTTTCCAGTAAATATTCCTATTAGTCACGAAAGATATCAGCGTAAGGTAAGAAGATATTCTGTAGCATCTTTAAAATATGAAGAAGTTATGTTCTTCTATGATTCCACTTTTAATGTTAGGTAAAAGTGATCACATTTTTAAAGGAGCCAGTGTGGAACAAGACAGTTTCCATAAGGCCCTCTCTCGAAGCAGAAGAAATTAGTTTATATCTTAAACTGATAAATTCAGGCCATTAATCTTCTCAGTCGAGCTTTTTCAGTTGCTCAACTATTACTGTGAAACCTCCCAAAAGAATCCCACACTTCGAAGTGATTTCTCTCTTACGTGAAAGTGGATGCCATAGAGAATTATGACTATCAATAATATTCAATGCCAGTATTTATTTGTATTCTCAGAAATACTATCCGCTTTTAAAGATGGTCGCGTAGAAGTTTTCAGTTTATTCAGTATCGAAATGTGCGTTAAACTACTGCGTATGTTCTCGTTAAACGAAGTACTGTTATTAATGTCATAGATTTGAGGAGGGAAACCATGATTTTTCTCATTGTTGGGAAAATCTTACTCTCTTTTGCTCGATTTGAAGATCATACTTGGACAGATGCTTAATTTTGGAGATTTCATGTCTTTCTAAACACTATATTCCACTGAATAGTTTTAATCTTTCATGTATAAAAGCAAATGTAACAGAAATCCAGGAATTTTCTACAAACTTGTCTCTTCGTAGACCTTTTGAATTCTGTAAAACGTGAATCTAGTAAGCAAGATTATTTGATTTTTGAATACATTTCTGAATCCACGAAAGCATCTTCATGACCTATGAATCGGAACTAACAAAATTGTTGTCCACTTTATTTACAGCAACCAGAAATTTCACAGAAGACAGGGCATAATCAAAAATCTGTTGTTACATACTGTACTTCGGTTTAATGAATTAGCCATCCAACGGCATATATCATTTTCAGAAAGTCAAATATCACACGATGTAAACAAACGGATTGTCATATTCCTGATTAACACTGTGCTATCATGAATTTCATCGTATCTGTAAAGTATAAGCTGAAAAGATTTCACACCATATTTTGAACAAATGCTGCTCACAATTTACCTTTCTTTCTGAGCCTGAGTTAAATTTTCCCAGAAATTTTTTTATTTTTTAATTGTAGAAATCAAAAAGTGCTGAAAGGGGGAAAAACTTCATTTTCAATTACTGTATATGCCCAGTTTCGGAAATATAATAATTTATTTTTAAATAACTTTGTAATTACAATTCTCTCCTTACTTATACTCTTTTAAAAATGGAGGGTAAGTGTCCTTTTCTTCCACAAAGAGAGTAAAACCGACCAATTCTTTTTTCGCTTGCAAAATGTGCAATATATGCTACTTGATAAATTACAGTGTAAACTTAAACAAATATGTTTTTTCATAAAACAAACGTTCAAAACAAGCGTTTGACAATATTGTGAAAGTCTGAATTCTTCAGATCAATATGTTCCGTTAATTTCCACACTATTATTTAAATCTAATTTCACAGATTTGTATTTTCTGTCTCCTTCTTTTCTGTCAGCTGACGATTCAATTCTGGAAAAGAAATAATAATAAATATATAAAAATCTGAAAGCTTTCAGATTGTATATTACGCCCAAAGGGGCGTTTTTTTAACGTTTTGTGTGTTACCTTTACATATGAAATATCATGTTCTTCACACTTAAACCATACAATTTAATTCAACAGCAATATTACAAAATATTTAAAAGAGCATATCTTTAGAATTTCCGATACACAGTCTCGCGTGCAGGAGATAAAAATTTTTTTTTTCGTATAGTGGTGCCATTGCTCGCTTTGAAATCGTTGATTTTGTTAATAAAAATTCTTAAATGTTTGACAAAATATGAAAGAGGTAATAAAAAAATTTCAAATTCAAAATGTGGCCTTCCAGATGCCCATATTAGAATGGAGGACTACGTTATTCAAAATTTGATATCTCTAGGTACTGTTGTTTTTTCACAGTGCGAGAATTCAAGCATATTCTTCATTATTTAATTTCTTTAAATATAATGCAGAGATCTAATATTTGGTGGCAACAATTTGAAAAGAGAACCGGCATTTATAGCGAACCGACGCAAAATGCCAAAACGAAATTAATAGCCCTTCTGGGCTAACGCCTTTTGGGCCAAAAAAGTTAATAATCTTAGAAGTTAATAATTTTGGAAAAAAGTTAATAATTTTGGAAAGAAATAATTATTTCTTTGAAAAAAGATATATTTTCATGCACATAGATTTTAAACCATGAAAACTAGAATGTGTTAACGAGATTTCATCCAATTGCTATGAAGTAACATGAAACATAAAGCATATAGATTTTTTAAAGTACATTATTTCATGTACGCTTTTAAATAACAATGCTTTTCAGACTCTAATACCCATGTTTTTAGTGATGAAGCCATATTAAAATTGCTATATGTCTTTTGATGCGGTAGTATGTTTTCAACGCTATCGTAGTGCCAATTCAGAACGCATAAAACGGAATCAACACAGAAGAGTCCTGAAGAAATTAACATAGAATCACATGTTTCTGAAAGATTTACAATCAAAATACAACACTCAAATGCATCAATTAATAAATCATTTAAAACTTTATACATAATGAGTAGAACTAATAGACAAAAAAGATCTGTTTCAATTTTACGGCAAAAAATTAATAAATTGCCGGTAGTTTAAGAAGTTATGCACCTGTAAGAAAACTTCGCGGGGAAAAATTGAAAGAGAAACCATTATCAAGGCTTTTAAGAAATATGATATAAGTAACTCATTGAATGGTACTGAAAGGGATTTATTTATTTATTTTGAAATGAAATGTCAATAATATTTCACAGACAGGAATAAAGATAGCAACACTATTTGCATTCAAGTGACAGTAGCTAGATGAGTGAGGATAAACAGAATGCACTTGGTACAAGTCATGGTACCAATAATTTAAAATTAATAGCTTGCTAATACTCTTCTACGTAAGAAACAATTATATCTCACCTGTTGAGGGTGCATCTTAGAATCCGCCTCTTATCGTCCGAAAAATGCTATATTCTTATTCCCGATAATTTACAAATTATATAATGGAGCACTAAAGCAGTTCACTGAAAGTTTAACTTTTAAAAAAGCTACGGCGGACTTCTCGTAAAAGTATATTTAGCATTCTATGAAACTAAACTGTCAAGTGGAAAATATGATTACCCAAAATGTATTTCATTACACATTTGTACTGAAAATAAAAGCAAGATTAGAAAATTAGCAGCAAAAAATATATAGAGATTCATCTTGAGTTCTTAACTTGATTCAGCTTCTAATTATACAGCTCTAAATTCGAAAATGCCTTTTCCAGTTGCCTACATACAACTCTTATGTTTCTAAGAATGTTGTTCAGATTCCTATTTTAAGCTTAAAAAACAACTAAAATACTAAAATAATTATTAAACCAACATTGCAACAGAAGAAAATTTTGTCCTCCCTCCTTCTTCTAATCATTAAACTGCTCTTCTTTTGCTTCCTTTTATTGGTCTCTTTTTATTTTGCAGTGTTCTATCACACACTGAAAGGACAAAATGTTGTAATATACACTTATTTATTTAATATCGTGTGCATCCAGTTTTTAGTGAGTTGTTGGCAGTGATTATATACGTTCTTTTTGCAAAAATAAATAACTAACTAAAAAGGAAGAAGAAACAAGCCTTAAAAATTAATCCAGTTTCCTCGAAATTTTGTATACAAGTATTGAAATGATTAAATTTTCAAAGTCAATGAGTGTTAACATCGGTTGTAGCGCCACTGTTACTACTTCGTAGCAAGCATTGTATAAAACAAGGAGCAATTAACATACGGTTTATCTTTTCTTGTAGTCATCGTTGCAGTTCCCGGGAGATCAAACCAATGACGAGGCGACGATGTCGAAAACCTTGCAGACAACTGAACGAATTTGAACGTGGTCGCATGGTAGGGCTGAGTGAAGCGGGCTGGTCATACCGAGCAATGAGCCACCACCTGCACTGTAAGAGCACAGCTGCGCAAAGATGCTGAAAACGGTTGCTGCAAAGTATTTATCAGAAGAATCAAGACTCTTCAAGGCGAAGATACACGAATGCAAAGCAAGATCGGATGACTGCATGACAGGCCCAAACTGCCCCAGTAGCATTATTGTCCTCTAAATGCGTGCTAAAGCCTCTTCCACACCGCCAGTGGCAGCTTCACCTTTTCACAACGCTAGGCGGATGCGGGGTTTCTTTAAGGCGTCTGCCTGTAGCCCCATAACACTGACAGAGTCATCTGGTGTGATTTCATAGCCGATTATCATGGCTGCCAGCAACTGGCATCATATAATGATGACCACTGGGTCCATGTGTGAGGATAGGCGGTCTCAATAACCCTTTTTTCTACAAAGAAGCAGGGCCATTACCCTTAATGTGATGGTGTGGGGTGCTATCTTACGACCAACAGCCGAACGATATGTTGATGTCATCCTGCGGTTCTTTGCATTGCTCTTCACACCATGCCATCCTACAGCCATTTCCAACAGCATAACGCTAGACCCCATACACCTCGCGTATCTCTACTCTCGAGCTGTTGCTATTCTTCCTTGGGCAGAAAGTTCACCAGACCTTTTGCTAATCGAACACATATGGGATATAGTACACCGCCAGATTCGAGTACCTCGAAATGCCGCAGATCTGGAGTAACAGTTGAGGAATGCCTGGCAGAAAGTATCGCAGGGTGAGATTAGAAATCTTTACGACTCCTTATCTCAACGTAAACAAACATTCATCTGTGCCAGGGAGGGTTTTCACCAATTGCTAAATTAAATATTCAATGTGCAATTGCTAGCCACTGATCGGGCCTATGACCTTGAATGTTTAATCATCTCATTACCCGTGCATGATTTTTACGCTTATTTAACATCTATAAAGCAATCACGTTCTTCATGGCGCTTTTGTTTTTTTTCTCGAAAGAGTGTATACGGAGTTCTTCATGGACGAAACTGATTCCGAGCAAACTTATATGATTTTTACGCATATTTAACTTTTATAAAGCAATCACGTTCTTCATGGCGCTTTTGTTTTTTTTCCCAAAAGAGTGTATATAGAGTTCTTCATGGACGAAACTGATTCCTAGAAAACTTATATAAACCCTACCCAAATTGTTGCGCCGCCTTAAATTTCTTCATTAATTTAAACTTGGCAAAATAAATCTACATTTTTTCAGTATGTAGATATCATGAAACTATAAATTGGCATCAGCATCGATGATAGATACAGTCAGTCATCGAAAGTGATGTCTTTAGAACCGTTATTCGTGAGACTAGTCTTCAACTCTCTATATCTAGCTCTAACAGGCTTTTACAAGTTCAAAATTAATCACTTTCTGTTCTGTCCCTCGTAGACATGTGTCCAACTCTCCTTTCCCCAATAACTTGCTTTGCCAAGGCGTAAGGAACCGGCATGTATAAATTAAGGAATCTTCCAAAAATTCTTATCAAATCTGCTATACTCTAGTTCTTCAACACTAAATCTGCTACTCTATTAGTTCTTGATATTCTTTGAAGGTGCAAATTATTCAGCACTGACAGCAGGATTTAAAGTAACATTTATGGCCTTTTTCCTCCATTTGCTTAAAAGTTCAACTTTATTTCATACACCTCTACTAGGCATTTGTTCAGCATGCGAAGCTTTCGAGGCATACCATTAATTTGAAGAGAGATTTTAATAGCAAATACTTGGTTCTTCTCTGACATCGCGCTGTAAATCGCTAAATGCTTACCAGCATTAAAATTTAACAGCCTAAAGCTGCGTTCTTTTATAATACCATTTTCCGGAACCGCGTTTTGGATGTAATATCTGAAAAGCTGAATTATCCAACGCAGTTTGTCAACCTAACATGAAATTTTATGTGGGGAAGTTAGGCATTGTTTCAAACAATTTTATTTTTACAAAAATCTCCTTGTTAAATAAGAAGCCTTATCTGAATGGCTGACAAGTTACAACTTTCCAGAATGTGAACATGAGCCCACGAGCAGCCGAGCGGTCAAATCGCTTAACACTGGTAGTTCGGTCCGAGGTTCGAATCCCGCGAACGGGCTGGCTGCATGGGTGTTTTCATGGTTTTTCCCATGTGTAATGTGTATACGAGCCAGTTTCCCTTAGAAAGTCCTCCACGAAGGCATCTCTCCTCTTAGGCAGATAGCCCTCGAGGCTTGCATACACACTCACACCACCTCTTTGCCACCGAATTTTAACACTTTTTATCAAAACCTGCCATAATTTGGAAACTGAGGTACTACATACATTAAGCTTCCTAAAAATTAGTTAATAGAACAGGAAACTTTCAAACCATGATCAATAATATTCACTTCACTACGAATCATTTTAGGCTTAACGCGGGAAGTTAGAGTATGATAACCCTGTTTAAAGGAACGAACGGCCCTCTTAATTTAATTAGGTAATTTAACCAGATACGAGCTACGAATAAGCAACTTAATAAATTTCAGGGTCTTTCTGAAAAACAAATTATTCACTACAGCTAATACTCACAAAAAT